CCATTTACGCAATTCATTAGGTTTAAGAGAGAAATAGATTTCATGGAGTCGAACTGCGAAAACCCATTTTTGTAGAACATGTTTTAGTCTGACCTTGATTTAGGTAGCAGGTTGACTGAAGAGTCATCAACCATTCATGTAGGTATGAAATTTTGATTAGGTTGAAGATCTTGTACACCGTCTCATATTAATAGGAACAGAATATCGAGAGATTTTTCAGTGTGACCGTCACAAGAGGTGGTATATCACGTGTTCCTATATAAATGGTGAGATATGTGTGTTAAAAGGTTAATAACTTAAAAAATTAAAATTTTCCACCATTTACATAAAAACATGTGATGTACCATTCGTATTCCAATCACAACTAAAAATTTCTCCAGAATATCGGTAGACATTGAAAGTTAATCAGTTTTTTTTTAATGTCAAGTTCTCTGTGTTTGTTCGTATTTCACCTTGAATATGCAAACTCTCTTATATCTTCCTTTTTCCTATATAGCATGTGTATTGATGCATTGATGAGCTGCTTCTCAGAGCAAGTACACCCCTAAGGACTTTGCGCCAGCACCCATCGCATTTATCCACTCAAGTGAACAATAATAGGCCAAGGCATCTCCACCCCTAAAAAAATGCGCTGGCACCCAGCGCATTTATTTGGTGTGTTTTTTTTTTAAGTTTATTTCGGATAAGATTTTTAACCAATTTCGGATAAATTTTCAAATAAACTTAAAAAAAAACACACTAAAATAAAATTACATACTCATCAAATAAACTTAAAAAAAACACACTAAAATAAAATTACATAAACTCATCAAATAAACTATAGAAAAAATAATAATTTTTTTAAAAATTTTATGTATTTTTTAATAAATTTTAATTAAGTTAATTAATCTGGACCGTTGATCTGTGATCGGACGGTCCATTTTAAAACTCAAATTTAAATTTTTTTTACCGTTGGAAATCCAACGGTCTAGAAAAACTAGCCGTTGGAAATCCAACGGCTATAAGCGTGCCGCGTCACTCATGGAATCCGGCGCACAAGTGGGCTGACAGCCCTCTGCATTCTTGTCGGCTACTCGTCCTGGGCGCGAGTGTTGTGCACGCGCCAGCCAAATAGGCCGGCTCTTGGGTCATTCAAAATTAGGCTGGTCTGTTGCCTGGCATAGGCTGGGTGCCAGGCAACTTTGTGGGCTGGAGCAATTTGACTGAGGGCCAGGTTGTTTTTTGTGCTGGGGGCTGGGCAAAGCAAGCCTCGGTGGACTTGCTCTTATATCGTTCGGTGTTTGAAAGGTTCACTAAACCATTGTGCGTTCTACTTGAAATTACGATGGCGTAAATTCGTTATTGGTGGAAAATTTTGGAGGAATTTAAGTCTAGTTCCTGAAGTTTTCTTGTAATTACATCAAATGATTTTTGAGCATGTGAGCGACCCCTAGTTTAGTTTGCAAAGTTGAATCAAGAAATAGACAATGAAAAATCCGTTGTCTATTTTCTAATTCTAAACATGGGCACTAGTACAAACCCCCCATGTAGTAACCTACCAAAAAGTATTTCTCTTCATCCACATAAAATAAATATCGAAACTATTCTGATTCTTGAATTTCCTGTGCTTGTGCATACATTTATGCACATAATGGATCTTTAATCTAGTACATGAAATCATGTCAACCAAGGTGGCTTTGATATGAAAATTGAACCAAAATTGTGAAACTAAGCCAAAATAACCCACACTATTTTTGGAACTACAACAAAATTACACACTATTTAAAAAAATTGAACCAAAATAACTTACTATATATATGGAATAGAACAAAAAAAATACTGTTTCTAGAACTACAACAAAATAACCACACTATTTATGAATCTGAACCAAAATAATCTACACTATTTTTGGAACTACTGTAAAATAGTGGCCTAGTTCTTGGTCCAGTTTCATAAATAGTGTCTAAGTCTTGGTCAAGTTTCATAAATAATGTATAATAATTGGTATTGTTTTATAAATAACGTCTCTTTCTTGGTCTAGTTTCATAGCATTTATTTCTTGGTCTAATTTCATAATAGTGTCCACCTATTGGTTTAGTTTTAGAAATAGTGTCTTATTCTTAATTTTGGTTTCATAAATAGTGTCTCCTTATTGATCCAATTTTCATAAATAATGTCTAGTTCTTGATTCACTTTCATAAATAATGGCCTAGTTCTTGGTCCAGTTTCATAAATAGTGCTTAGTTCTTGGTTCACTTTCATAAATAGTGGCTAGTTCTTGGTCTAGTTTCATAAATAATGTCTAGTTCTTGGTCCAATTTCATATATAGTGTATAGCAATTGGTACAGTTTCATCAATAATGTATCTTGCTTGGTCTAGTTTCATAAATAGTGTTTCTTTCTTGGTCTAGTTTCATAAATAGTTTTCACCTATTGGTTTAGTTTTAGAAATAGTGTCTCATTGTTGATTTGGTTTTATAAATAATGTCTACTTATTGAACCCGTTTCATAAATAGTGTCTCCTTATTTTAAGGAGGATTAGAGTGACATACCCTGATAAAAAAAATAAAATAAAAAATATATATACGATCAATAATGGTACAATTTGACAATTTGACAACATAAGCATCTAGACATCCTACATTCCTACTAGTATTCATATATCCCGGACTTAACTAAATTCGTCCTTTTAAATATGGCTAAAATAACAAAGACTTGTAACTCAATTAGTTGAAAACATTCACATTTACTCTCAGAATCTCGAGCTCGTCCCTCAACATCTGTAGTAGAAGAAAGAAAAAAGGATATCGTGAATAGTGAAAGTTATAATTCATACATGATTGTGTTTACTATTTGTTATAATTATACACCAAGTTTATGTCTTTGTAATTGTTTTTTGATTAAAATATTCTTGGATCAAGCTATTTTTATTAAAACTCTTCTTCCTATATCAGTTCTCCTTCAAATAATCAAAAAAAAATTATAAAATAATAAAATAATATTCCCTCTCCTCTTCTTGATGGACTAAAAACAAAAATAACAGAATTTCTTTTTTATTTCTTTCTGCAATTAATTTTCTTCATCTGGAAATCCCAAGTTGTGTGGATTATAGTAGAAAATGAGAGACATGTGTTTGTACTTTATGTTGCTCATATTATTAATTTAGTGCAATAATACGTCAATTAATTTCATGTGATTTAAAAAAATAATGGGGTGAGAGCATGCCATTGGCTTGGCACATGGCAGTGTAGCCACAAGTAGAAATGCGTAAGCATTCATGCCGACGCTAATCAGGCTAACTCTTTGTTGAGTATGTTTATTCTGATTTTTCCCACAATATGTATATGTGAATAAATTAGATATGAAGAGGTTGGTGTGATAGAACAACCGTTGATGCAATGGCTATGTCAGAATCTTTGACACAAGCTGCATTTCAATGTGATGACGAAAGAGATGAAAGCAGAACAGAAGGGACCTAATTAAGCTAATTCAAGTGGTTGTCAAGCCTTGTTTAAGGTGGGTTTTTGTTAAATTAATGTTAGTTCAAGCATTTTTCATTAACGCTTCATTTTTCTTTTTACTTGAAGAATTGTGAAGTATCAAAATTTTAGTATGATTTTGACGCATTTTTGGTTCATTTGTTTTCAGGTTGTTGCTAGGATGTAACAAGACGACTTGAAAAACTGCAATCTAAGACAACTAATTCGTTGATGTATATCATACTTTGATGGGATATTGTTGTCATGCAATTTTAATTTGATGGCAGTTTACATAACTACTCGTCTATAAACTAAGAAATTAATGGGAAAAATGTCCTATAGTGGATGGTTGAGTAATTTAGTGGAAAGAAAGAATTTAGAAAGAGTAGGACGGCAGTAGTACTAGTAATGATGGCAGAAAAAAATATAATTTGATGTATGAAACTATGACAAACTCATGCCAATTGCGCATGCAATTGCAGTACAACAAGACAAATTAAGCAAATAGCTTTGGAAATTCAAAATTCTACAACAAGACAAATTAAGCAAATAGCTTTGGACATTCAAAATTCTACAACAAGACAAATTAAGCAAATAGCTTTTGGACATTCAAAATTCTACAACAAGACAAATTAAGCAAATAGCTTTTGGACATTCAAAATTCTAACGTTTTGGGTGACGGAAGTGGCATTTCATCAGGGGTATGGACTGGAAAAAGAAAAAAAATTGTTTTGCACGCTGGGCATGCTTCCAGCTTGTGGGCCTTTTATTTAGGCTTGTTTTCTTTCAGTTTTTGTCATTTTTCATTAAAAGCCATGATATTTTCATTAATTAGAATTAGTATGTGGTTTTTGATTAAATCAAAGTTAGCTCAAACCCTTTTTAGTAAAGCTCTCTTTTTTTCAATGCTGCAAAGCATACATACATCCTCTGAAACCTAGGCCTTCCTACTTCCATTTCAGCCTTCACCGAAATTGTACTGTCAAGATTTCTTCGCTTGAGCTCCTCACAATAATCACATAACCTTGCATATTGCTCCACATAAGCCCCTTCACTCTTCTCAGCTGCCAATGATCGTGTTTTATAAAGTTGAGATGGTGTTACGCGCAAATTATATTGTTTATGAACAATTTGTTGAAATTTTGACACTTCCCATTTAGGATTGTCAAGCAAATCCTCAGCATACCTATGTGATAACCAAGTTGAGGTGCATAGTCTGAGCTTTTCCTCTCTCGGACATGTATGGACATCATTGAGTGTCTTCACCATAAGTGCAGAGCTCCCATCTATTTTGCTTGCATAAATCACCCATGGACATCCCTCCTTTGTACACTTACCCTGAACCTTATAACGATCTCTTATTGGGAATCTTATTTGTCTTCCATTCACACAACCATAATATGTCACTGCTTGTCTGAACTCCTTTCTATTGGCAAATATCATTCCAGCTCTAAATTGTGGGTTCTTCATATCCAAATTACGTTATAGTCTAAAGTAGGGGGGGGGGGGGGGGAGTGGCACTGTGAAATTTTGGATACATTTCACTTTATTTACGATCTTGCCACCGGGCTGATTTCAGCCCAAATTTCGCTTTATTTACAAGATTACCACTGGGCTTGAGAGGTTTTCAGTCTTTCGGTTGGAGCTGGGTTTTGACTCGAGGAGAGAGAGGGAAGACGTACAGAAGGGTTGACGACGCATTGGAGGGAGACGTTCGCCGGGAATTAGGGGAGAGGATTTTCGGCAGGGACGTGCGGGTGGGTGTCCTGTGGCTGATGCATCGGTCAGAGGGTTGTTGGGGGGATGGGAGGGCATGCCGCTCTGGGTCGAGATAGAGAGACAGAGCAACAGAGAGAGAGAGGGAGAGGGTGGTTCGTTTTCCATTTGCTTCCTGAATGTCGAATCTCCAATTGCATCCATTGTCATTTCGATTTGGGAGAGGGTGGTTGCTGTCGGTGAGATTGAGGGATGGGTGTGAGATTCGGTGAGGGGAAAGGTTACAAGGAGAAAGAGAGACAGGCAGAAAAAGAGGGAGGAGTGGGGTGAATAGGTCCCCATATGAACAAATCCATGCTCAGAACTAATTTAGGGTTAGGGTTCTGAAATTAATTTTCCCCCAATTTGCCCTCTCTCTTAAATCACCATATCTAGGTAAATCCTAATTGTAGATCAGACTTCTATTACAATTTGCTTTCTTTGTGAAATTTTATTGTAATTTACACTAAAGTCTCTGGCTTTTGAAGTTCTATATGAAATTGTGAATGTTGTTCGTAATCGAGTCCGGCCAAGTTCTCTGCTAAATAGTGCGAAAGTATGCATGATGGAAAAATTACTTTTGTATCATCTACATTTACCCGTTATCATAGCATGATTTAAAATATAGAAACATACTGCTTATAGGATATTAAGGTTGAAGTCATTTAGTTCCAAAGATGCCATAACTAATGTATCATTGAGTGAAATACCAGTTTACAAAGATATTGTGCTTATTTGTTTTAGGTGGATTACCAAAAGGAGCTCATAAAGTATTCAGCGAGCATGATCGACCTTGATCATTTGGATATTTAAAGGAGCCATTGATAAAGGGAAGACGACGAGTTGTGAACCTGTGTGCCAATTTTGCCAATTTTGCAGACAAGCGGAAACTCTGACACAGTGATCAAACAGGCTTTCATGTTGCATATTTTGATTAATAGCGGTGAAACCCACTGTGTGTCGCACCATGTAAGGAAATGGAATTGCTCCTTTTTGAGTTTAGGTAGATTTTTTAGAGGTTTTCGTATATATTGCTAGAAACTTTGTCTACTTATATATGGTGATTTACGTTTCCATTGGTGCACCTCTGGAATCTTATTATGTGTTGTAGGAAACTCTGTTTCTGTATTTATTGTAGAATATTTTCTTTGTTCTCTTCATTGGATTCGATTTCGGTGAGTTCTTAGTTGATCCTTGCTCTCATGATTTCCCAAATTGGTATTTTTGGGCGTCTTCAGTTGTCGCTTTGATCTGGAATTCCGCGTTGTTTCTTTCAATTTCTGGGTTTTTATTTTTTCTCACATAATAATGACATTAATATAGTTGACAGTGACACCATGCATTACTTATAGATCATTTTCTTTACTGTAAGGACCCTTTTGAATTGATTTGGTAAATGTAGTGTAGGCATAAGAACTTTATGGTGTTTTGTTGTGATTCATGAACGATGGAAGGTCTCGTTGCTGTAACACGAAACCCAGCTTTCGGCTATCCGCTGGCATCTTTCTGAAGGTTTGTGTACTATCTTATGTGGAATTGGGATGGTATGACTTTGAATACTTATCGTACATGAGGAAAGGAAATGTGAAATGTTGGGTTGATTAATTAATAGAGAACAAAAGCATTGATACTATATGATTGTGTAGATTCAGTTATGTTGATTGAGTATTTGTTGGTGCGTTGCAATAAGATGCATTTTTTCATAATAAGTTGATGTGGTTGTTGTATTTATATGCATCTTCGTTCTGGAGCCCTCCCTGTTTTCCACATCTCCCCTCGCACTACCTAAAGCCGAAACCAAACCCAGCTATGCAGGAATCAAATCGCAGGTCTCCGACACCCACAAAGGTAAAACGCTGAAAAAAAAAAAAAAAATCCCCCTCTGTCCTGTCATTCTCATTTTCAGAAGATATGCAGACGGTTCCATGTCTAATGTCTTTGTGGGTTTTCAGGATTGACAAGGATGAACAGAAACGGATATAACAACAGTAAGACCAAATATGAGATCCAACGAAATAAAAAAAAATAGCGGTGTAGAAGCCAAGGCCTACGGATTCAAAAGGAAAAGGTATGAGCCCTGGTTCTGCACTAATATTACTTGGATTAGATGAATTTTTTAGTCTTTGCATCCGTGAATAAAGTCTGTGATCTCTGTGTGATCTCATTCACTGATCCCTAGATCTTGAATTTGTCTAATATGCTCATGGATGTGCTCTGTTTGTTTTCATGTACAAATTGGTGAATGTTGAACAGAATGCCTGCATGTTGGATCTGTGATTTGGGCTTGAACAAAAGTACCTCTGTGCTGCCTGGATCCTCCACCCCCAAACTTAGAATGAAAGGTTAGCAATAGCCTTTTTTTTACTTACTTTCAAAATTATTTTATAAGTAATTTTTGTATCTGTGAATCGCTTGATTCATTGTTGTAATTTTATATATTACATGATCGCAAGGCTCTTGATATCATTAATTGTTGGTTTTGGTACTTGACAATGGAAACCCCATCAGATTTTGGTTTGCATTGGTTTGGGTATTTTTACAGGAACAAATGTTTTTTTTTTTGTTGTATTTAGATAAGAATTATTAATTAAATTTTTTTTTTTTTGGAAACTAATTATTAATTTATTTATGACATTCAAACTTTCTGAGATTTGAATCTATATTTGGTGGTTTTGTGATTCATGGTTGTATTTCGATTTTTGGATTGTAGGTATGTGAATCCTAAGTTTAGCAATTGGTACAATATAGATTAGGCATTGAAACAGATAAAACTAGTCATGTTTTTTTACATATTGTTGCCTGTATTTTTTTGTTCTTTTGAGAAGTACACAGAAAATGCAGTATTTAGCGAAAAGACGTATGAATATGATACATGTATAACAAAGGTGTGCATAATGGATAGTACAAACATTGCGTAGCTTTAACATGTGTTTGCACTTTCATGGTGTAATTAGATTTCTGTTCCATATTAATTTCATATTTTATATCACATTATGCTTAAAGAATGTTGTGTTAATTAAAATAGGAGAAAACATTTAGGGCTCTAGCGGTTCTGATGATGGTGTTCTGGATGTTCCAGTGGATGTTGAGAAGTTTTAAGTAAAAGAAAAGCCTTATGTGGAAGAGTTAGAATATAATTGCTATACATGGAAGACTTGGACTATAATTACTAGGACAAAATTACAAACAATTTTGTAGTACACCTTGAAGACGAGTTTTCATTCCTTTTTAGCTCTTTGTTATTGGTATATAAATTTTAACTACTATTTTCCCCTCACCCAATATATTATGTTCAGTTCTGGCATTCCCCTCAAAACATCGTTTATGTATCATTTTTATCTTTTTTCTGTGTTCAGCTCACATACCTTACGTATATATTGGAGACTACGATACAGTCAGAGAATCACAGCCTGCATCGCTTACTTCTATTTTGAGATTAAAATCAAAACTCTTATTTGCTCTCACTATGTAATAGTTATCACTAACTTCTATTTTTTCTGTCTTATTGTATTTCCCATGTAGAGAGCTAGAACTAGAAGGACAGTAAAATGCTCGAATAATGGAACAGAATTGCGATTATGCCCGAGATATTTGGTAATCTTTCTGCTTTACCAAAACCAAATCACAATTTGTTTTAACACAAAGAAAGATGCTCTGTTAATCCAGGGATATGGCACCCTCTTTGTTTTTTGGATTGGATTTGGTATATTATTGAATAAGTGTTTTTTTTTTTTTTGGAGAATTATCAAATAAGTGCTTATGTATGCTGTCTGCAGATGTTACAGTAACAACTGCAAATACAAGTTGAGAGGAAGATCATATTCCTTTTGTGGTGGAGCTAGAGTTCGTTATCGTCTGCGGTAATCTTCAACTCAAGTTGTATGAAAATGCTTGGGTGCTTTTGAAGTGTCGACAATAGAACCCTTTCCTTCTTTTAACTTGATTAATCTAATTTTTTTCTATTAAATGATGGAGTAGCCGATCCTAGCCCATTTGAAACTCAAGAAGAGATTGAAATTGGGGAATGCTCACTGAGGCTGGTAAGGAATTGAAATTGGAAATTAGTAAGTGACAACCTTTGTTTGATGTGCAGAGTCATTGGATGGAACTTTTGTTGTAGTATATAGTTATAAGGTCAAGTGCTCATTGAGGCTTTCTTTTTACCGTAGGTAAGTCAAAGAAAGCTAAGAAATAGGAAAGGAAGGATGGTAATTCATTTGAAACTCAAGAAGAGAATGAAATTGGTGAGATGCTCACTAAGGCTGGTAAGGAATTGAAATTGGAAATTGTGAAGCGACAACTTTTATTTGATCTGAGTGTCGAGTCATTGGATTGCAAGTACTTATTGAGGTTTTCTTTTTACTGTAGTTAAGTCAAAGAACACTAAGACAAAGAAAAAGAAGGATGGTAATTCATTAGAGTTTGTAAGAGTTACTTTTCACTAACAGATTGTCTCGCATCACCTCCTTTTATACTTATGCTACAAGGATTCAGGACTCAATTTTGGATATATGTGCAAGTGCATTTTAGCCACATCACCATCATTCTCAAATTCATATGAAAAACTCATGCAAATTGTATATAACTTGGACTTAGAAATCCGCCCTTTTGGATGTACATAGGATGCAAATTGAAGACTTATTTTACCATGTGAATTCAGCTGTTTTGATTGGTTTATGAATTATTTAGATATGGGTGTGTTGAACTGTGGTTACGATTTCAAAACCCGCAGCGGAGCGCGAACATTTTTTCTAGTCACTTCTAAAAGGAATGAGTTTGGGCAGTTTCTTCTTACTTTTCCGCTTCACTGGTTGTTCACCTTCAGATGATCAGCTAGAACCACTTCTAAAGCCAACAGAATCTTTGTTGTCTGTTTCAACATCTCCAAATCCTAAATCAGGGAAGGGTTCAGTGCTTTCCTATTTCCATTGCATTTTCCACTGGTATTTTTCCCTTTAGTTTTCCCTACATTGTAGTCAAATAAGTTGTCATTGACATCACTTAGTTCATAGTCTGAGTCTCGATAATCTGAATCTTCCGAATTGCCATCGCCATCTATCTCTTCCTTTTCCACGTTATGTATACCTACCTCAACAAGATTGTCTTGTTCCCGATCTCCTTCATAAGCTTGCTCCAAAAATCCCTCAAATATGCCAAAAGGATTAGACGTGTGAGGAATGTCAAAAGAGTTTGTTGAAGCTTGAATTTCAATGTTTGGGGCTGACATGTGAGGAATGTCAGAAGAGCTTGATGAAGCTTGAATTTCAATGTTAGGGCTGAATTGATCGGTTGGTCATCTCCAACAATTTACACAAGTGCCACTCTATTAAGGGGCAATACAGTAGTTAGAGTCCAAAAATCACTATCAGCAACCATAGGCTTGTAAGTTCTGTCATTTGGCAATGTGTAATAGTACTTAGCAGTCTCAGTTACCCTAACTTCTTCGCACAATCCTCAATATCCCACCTGGACATTAGATCACAGTTCATATTACAGGCTTCTATAAAGTGACCTCCATGGTGCATTTCCATTTTAAATAACTCAAATTTATCTGTACAAGATAAGTGATCAAAGTTTAAGCAATCGGTAAAATGGCAAATCAAATGAACATTCCCTACTTAGATACAAAGTAAGCATCAGAATACAAGTGCATGGACACGAAGATAGGTCTCAGTACTTTAAATTTTGAGATTTAGAGTGTTCAAGTCACAATCACCAACTTTCAATGAACGCCATTTATATGTCTAAAATAAAAAAAATAAAATTAAAAACTCTCAAATTCTCGATTCGATACATAAAATGTTAAACAGGAGACCTTGTCCCAATCCAATCCGCCCTCTGTAAACAAACCAAATTATGTTGATTTATGTTATCTTTTATTTGAGATATAGATGGGAATACTTTGTATCCTAGTAGGACTCTTTGTAATCCAATATATTTATACGCTGTCAATGAATGAATATGAGCTACGGCTTCTACAATTCAATTTCCCTGTTACAGATTTTCTACATAAAAGCATTAAACAAAACACATGAAGACATTAATATAAAACAAGTAGTCGACATTCTACGGGAAATCTATGCGTTGCAGATTCCCATATGATCAGAGAGGTCGACTTATCTTGGAGGTAATGCTAATCAAAATATGCCACTAACCACCAGTCTCATCTCTCTAATTCCACCATGCTTTTATAGTGTTGCCCTTGATCACATATGATGGTGGCATGCTCTCCATTGTTGGAAGTCTTTAACTTCTTTTTCATTTTGCTTGATAGTCATTTATACCTTGGAAAGCAATAAATATGCCGTGATGAAAACAAGCACACAAAAAAGCATAACATTGATTTGGTGGTTTTTATAAGCTCAGGATGTTTTCTATATCGAAGATTGATTTTTCTGTCTTAACCATTTGCTAGATAGGAAAATTGCCCGATAGTTCCCGCTTAAATCATGCTCTCTCTCTCTCTCTCTCTCTCTCTCTCAATCTAAAATAGAGACATGATTCAAAATTAACATCACAAATATTGTTGATGCCACATCTTTTGTTGAGAAGTCATGAAACAAAAGACATGTTGCTAAGATCCTGAAAGATTGAAAAAAGTTATTTCTATATGATTATATCAGTTTTAACATTACCCACTACCCAATATTTGAACAGTCAATGCTTGGAGGCTTATGTCAATCTCTAACAATTGTTCGAATTATTGTATCCAAGTATGCATTATACATTCAATTGAGCCAATGAAGCATGTGTGCCAACGAATTTTGAAGAGTTCGGCTTGGTTTTCTCTCTTTGATCTTTAATATTTAAGTGTGAGGCACCTGTTTGTTGACTAATTGAGTCCCTTCTCTAAGTTTTTAGTAGATATTGTGTAATTTGCTTTTATGAGCACTTCTTTAAGCTGTCAAGTTCCCAAAATGTACAAGGAGATATCAAGTTTAACAAGTCACGAACTATGATCAATCCAAATGCAGTGAAATTAGGGATTTTACACTTAAAAACTTAGTTAGCTTTAGACCATAGGAGTAAGATTTTGCACATGTGATTATCATTGACCATCTCATTTTATTTTTCTGGATAAGAAACAAACTGTCATTGAAGGGAGAAGAAAGTGTACAAAAACAAAGTTTCTGTAAGCTTGCTGCCATTTGAAAATTCTGGTAATTACTCTAAACCCCCAAAATATTTGAAAATTCTGGTAATTGTTCTCATTGTTTTTGACAATTTGTATAAATTGCTGCCATTTGTACAAATTAAGGTTTCTTATTTCACTTGTTTGCAGGAAGCTATTAATTCTGCTTCATCGGTGACTCAAACCTTAAGCGGAGAAGTGGCTGACGGTCAACGTAAGCTCATAGCCCTTGCAGCTGCACGAGGAAACTCAAGTGCAGTAAATCCTCTGGTCACACAACTCACTAATGGACCTTTGGGTGGTCTTCATGAGAAGGTTTGTTGGATCTTAAAATATGTGGAATATGTGGATATGTAACTCCAAATGTTCAATTTTATCAAATGAGTGTTGGTAGGTTGGCTATTTTAATCATGAAAAGCAATTTATTTTAGTTGAGCAAACATTATGCATGGACTTGGAACTTCTTCCCTTGAATTGTAGTTGGAAGGGTGTATGATAAATTTAGTGGGATTTGAGCATAAGCCGGTTGCCAGCCCAATACAACTGATCACATCCTGCAAGATTAATTTATCCACATTGGAGAATTTCTCATTATGCAATTCTACTGCATTTTTTTGTCAAATTTAAATTTAAATATAAATTTTAAAATTTTGGTTTTGATTATGCAGGTCGTGGATTCCGTGCTGCTGCAGTATATTTAAATGCTGCTGTCCTCCACTGTTTGAGCCTGGGCCTCCGCCACTACCATAGTGGTATATTTTCTTAGGAGCCTACTTTGCATGAATTATTTTGTGTAATTGGTTGACTTAAATCTTTATTTGATCTAACTATTCCAATTTGGCTAATTTGTTTTTTAATTTTTTATTATATTGGAGTTGAATTTGGTATTTTGGGTATGCTATCTTTGGATGCTTAGAAAGATAGTAATTTACTTTTGTCTTTGATTTTTCACTAATGGCTAATGGGATGTTGTGATGGGGTTTAGTAATTTTCAGTATTCTTCAATTATTTTGAATTTGCAAAATCAAATAACTCATGGAAATAAATTATTATTTCATTAATCTGTATGTAAGAGGACTTTACAATATGTCATCAAGTTTAGACCGACAACAATGAATGGCAAACTTAGGATTAATGCCTCTATTAATTTGATGTTTTCTCATGGTCGAGAAATATATACAGCTGTCTTATTTATTGGACAACATCATTCATCCTCTATATTTAATATTAATTGCTTTTCTTAATCTATTTTTCCGTCAATCTTTTCTGCTACATAATCTCATTTGGTTTTCGATTTTGTGAAATGTTTTGGAGGCGGGAGTGTGTGAAGTGTGTTGATGCTGAGGATAATGCTGAATTTGGTGACACTCCTCAACTAGCAGAGCAGGTAACAGAGCTTCTTCCAACTCAAATTTAATGATTGAAGCTGCCTAAGATTTGCGTAACATTCCCAAGTTGTAGTCGATGTGCCTGAGTGGTTGAGTGCTTGACTAATGAATGTAACCACTAAGATTTGGATTGTTTTTTTGTTTTGGGGGGGGGGGTAAGAAATAACATTGCTAATTTCGGATTTATGGGTTTGAATTTTTAGTTCATTTTGCTTATTAGTTTATCTTACTTCTTTGAACCAAATGCAAATTCCAATCTTGCATTGTTAAGCCCTGAAATTAGAACAAAAAAACCTGCATGAAATTGAAGTTTTCTCTGATTGAGAACTCATTTTTCTTCTACTTGAAGTTTTCTCTGATTTATTTCTGAATAATTTAGAAATGGGTATGTTAAATTGTGGGTTACGATTTCAAAACCCGTGGTGGAGCGCGGGCATTTTTTCTAGTATGAAACTTATTTTGCACAACCATTAACAAATTGTTTGTACCTTTACGCAATCTCCATTAGAAAAGCCACAAGTTTCTCAACCAAGCAAATTGGCATCATAATACCCAACGGGTGCAAATTAGCCTTTTCTCATTTTTTTTATTTTCTTTTGAAAAACACCAAGGAGCAGGTAGCTAGCACCATCACTGTGTCTGTCCAAACATCAAATGCCCCTTTCTTTCTTTTTCTTCTGCAAAACGGCCGAAGTACCCAGATTCTTCCTTTCTATAATGAGCTTGCTAAAGACCAACTACCACACCAACTAACTTAACTACCTCTTATATTATTAGGGTGATTTTTAGTCACCACCCTCAAGTGGTGGTAATGCTTACCACCTTATTTATTACTGTTGGATGAGTTTAAATTTTGAGATTTGTGTCTGGGATTAAACTCATATAACGGTGATAAATAAAGTAATGAACATCACCATTATTTGAGTGTGGAGAACAAGAATATTCCTATAATATTGTACGCAAAAGGGGTAAGTTTCCTAATTGCAAAAGCAAAATAGAGACGTAATAATTAAAGGGTTTTTAAGCTCTTAATTAATGGTATTTAATTTGCTTGGTAACGAGAATTATTTGGGAGTCAGTCACCTACAGCATGCATGCAAATTGGAGGAGACAATTCAATAACCAAATTACACCACCGTATCCTTTGGAACTTCACTTATAGCCCCATGTTTACTTGGAAGACATGAAAATTATGAACAAAATTGATTTTTCTCCTAACCATGCCAATTGGGTTGCGATAAATTTATAACTCAATCAAGTTTATTTGCTCTGATAATTAATATTTGGGTAACAATTTATGATGAGATTCATTAAATACTAACAATTAGTGGGTGATATTAATTGGAGTGTTAAAGATAGGACACAGCTACAAGTCACATTATCGTGACGTATCTTTGTTCTAAAAACAATTTTGTTAGTATCCTACTGATTGCCCAAAAAATAAATCTCTTTCAATTGTAATAAATCTAAAGGGAATTTTAACGAAAAGCACCCGGTACAGTTCACTTTAACGAAAAACCACATTTTTACACTAAAAAGTCAATTCTGGTACTATTCACTTTACCCTTTATTTTGTCCTTATCATTAAAACTCAAAGTTTTCAAGCCATTTTCATTAGTTTTCCTAAATCTAAATTCAAATCCATTAATGAATGGCTAAGAATTTTCATTTTTGGTGGTTTAATAGAAACTCTTTCATGCCACTTAGTATTACGGTCTAGTGATATTCTCTTCACTTATAAATAAGAGGTCTTAGGTTCGATTCTCGCCAAAGACGAATTTGAACAACATTATTGTTAGCCAATTGTGAGGCTAAGTCTATCTCCTTCTCCTTAGTGTAGATAATATCATTTGTTCAAAAAATAAAAATAAAAACCCTTTCGTTGTCAAGATTGGTAGAACGACTGCTGAAACCACTGGATTAGAAGTCAGAATGCACATGGAAAACTATTAATAGCAACATTGCTAGAAAACCTTGACTTGTCATAGCCCGTGGGCTTTAAAGTTGGGGTTAAAATTATACTAAAAATGGCTATTTGCAAACCCTATTAACCATACGGTCCATACCAACCAACTTCAACCCAATTCCCTTTACTTATATGGAGGAGTTCATATAAGTAACAATATGCTATTAGTCCACTTTCAATAAACATGTTCAGTTAACTTGGTGTTTAGAAGAACATAGCTTGGCTTTAGATCATAATGAACTATCGGTGTTTCACAATAGTTATGAAAATAATCCAGTGCATAATAGCAACACCAATAACAATATCTAGCCCTTGAAGAAGATTTTTAAATTCTTGGATGTATTGATCTCTTACCTCTTTAATTACAAAAGGGGGATGCAACCACTCCTCTAAGCTCCTTTGGTGCTTCAACTCATAAACTAGAGCCTTGAAATCATCATCGAGAAAACATGCAGATATGACCTTGATGAGATTTTGATGCTTGATATTTCTCAAACCTTCATAGCTACAAGTACAAGCCGAGCTCTATTGTCAGTATAAAGAACCCTTTTGTATGCAAACTCGAAACTGCCAATACCAGTCAAATTAGCTGAAGAAAACCGATCGGCGGCTTTGAGAAATTAGCATATGACACTTGCAAAGTAGAGCAAGTCCAAATACTAAAGGGATTATTAATTTCAAGCTATAAGCTAATCTTCTTTTCTTGGAGCTCTTTAGACTTGCAGTTGGGCAGCTTGAGATTAGGAATTCCCTTACAGAATCTAGTGTTGTCAACAATTGAAATAGCACTTTGATTTTCGAAAACACCTTACACCAGTCTGATAGGAAACTCAATTCACCATCTTTACAGCTACCAAGATGATTTTATTGAATGTTGAGGGTCTTGAGGTTATGAATCTTTCAAAAATTTGGAATCTGTCAAAGTGAATATTCAACAACTTCGGGAACTAGACTTCAATCGATGTAAATATTACACAAAAATACCAAGTACAAGAAGTAGTAATACACTCTTCACACAATGAACCTCATTGGTGATTATTTACATTGCAAACTTCCACATCTACTATGGTAACATAAAAGCTAGACTTACATAGGCAGTACACAAAATTTCTCTATCACAAAAGCACATAAAAAGGAGTTTCTATCCAAGAAAAGCAATCCTAATGGAATGAAGTTCAGATGCAGCATCATTGATATTCTTTAGTCGATCTATTGCGGATTCAGCAGAACAAGCAATTCCAATTCTAAATATTGAACTCAAGCACACCTCAACTTTATGAATTCTCGAATTGCATTGATTGGGATTCTCGTTCGAGCCTCCTTGAAGAAATGGTGCATCTGCAATCTTAGTAACTCTCCCAGGGAGAGCCATCTTGACAAAATTATGAAGGTTCTAGCTATCACCAAACATGTTGTCAGTGGGTCTCTTCCCTGTAAACATCTCCAACAAGAGAATGCCAAAGCTATAGACATCACCATTCGTTGACACCTCACTCCCCATGCCATACTCTACAATTCAAACATCACATTTGTGTATAAATAGTTCAGTTTGAATTTTGTAAATTAAATACTCCAAAATAAAAAAGGAAATATAATGAAGTATATATCTAACATATATATACCTGGAGCTGCATAACCAACCGTTCCTCTTATTCCAGCGGAACTTGTCTGACTTTGAATTGCTGAAACATTACTCGTTACTTGTGAGAGAAACCTTGCTATTCCAAAGTCAGAAACATGGCCAGTCAGTTTGTTGTCCAAGAGAACGTTGCTTGGCTTGAGATCACAATGAACTATTGGCGTTTCACAATGATTATGAAGATAATCTAGGGCACAAGCAACACCAATGGCAATTTCTAGCCTCTGAAGAAGACTTAACTTCTTGGGTACATGATCTCTCAACTCTTCAGTTCCAGTAGGTGGATGCAGCCACTCCTCTAAGCTCCCGTTGTCCATGAACTCATAAACTAGAGCCTTGAAATCATTACCATGAAAATCAACACTTGAACACACGGTTATAGTCTTGACGAGATTTCGGTGCCTAATATTTCTCAAAGCTTCACATTCGGCTATGAAACTCCTCGAAGCTCCATGGCGTAACAAGTTAAACACCTTCACGGCAACAAGTTGAGCTTTATCATCATCATCAAGAACTCCCTTGTACACAGACCCAAAACTACCAGCACCAAAAGCAAATCATACGCGAGTTAACATCTAAAAAAGTTTGCGACTTCGTGGAGGAACACATTGTGACCCGGTTCGGTGTACCGGAAACGATCATAACCGACAATGGAACAATTTTCACAGCCGAAAGGTTTAAAGAATACACGGCAAATTTGAAAATTCGGCTGGAACAGTCCACACCGTATTATCCACAGGCGAATGGGCAGGCCGAGGCAAGTAATAAAGTGTTGATCGGCATCCTCGAAAAAATAATAAAAGAAAGGCCTGGCATGTGGCATTTGAGGTTGAACGAGGCATTGTGGGCATACCGAACGTCGCCCCGGTCGGCGACTGCGACAACCCCGTACGCATTAACCTACGGACACGATGCAATGTTACCAGTCGAGTTGAGCATAAATTCGTTGCGATTAATTGAACAAAGTAGTTTGTTTAGCGCCGAATATAATCAGTCCATGGGACAGGAACTAGAAGATTTGGAAGAAGTGCGACTTGACGCTTATAACTTATTGGTGGCACAAAAACAGATTGTCGAGCGGGCCTATAATAAAAAGGTGCGACAGAAAACATTCGGCGAGGGTGAATTAGTGTGGCAAACGGTGTTGCCCGTAGGACTAAAAGATCCTAGGTTCGGCAAGTGGTCCCCGAATTGGGAAGGGCCGTTCATTGTGCATAAAGTATACGGAAATGGGGCGTATCATCTTAAAGACCGAACCGGTGTAGTTCACAGATTACCGATCAATGGGAAGTTTTTGAAAAAGTATTACCCGGTAACGTGGGAAATGTGAGAGTAAACAAAACCATCTCATTAAGATTGATGAGCATGTACAAGCTAAGTAGGTCATTCAGGATAAAACTAAGTACATTCAAGGGGAAGAAGGTAAGAGGGTGCTGAGAAGGGCCTTCAATTCCAACCACCGCACCTCGGCCATGATAACTTCAGCTTGCCGATTCTTTTTGTCCAGCTTCAACCGCTCGACCCGCTTTGTTGTCGCCGCGTACTCAGTT